TCTTTCTGAAGAAGGGTCCAGACCTGAAACGTCAGCTTTCCTGCTCCTCTGATGCTGCTTGGCCTGCTGTGTTCATCCAGCTCTACACCTTGTTATCTGTTTTAGTAATATTTACTGAAGGTTAGTCATTGGACAGGGCACGAAGGACAGCTTCCTTGCTCATCTTCCAAAGAGTGCCATGAGATATTTTACATTGCATGCAATATCAGTCGTGGCTTCATGTTAACATCTTGGGTGGAACCAGAGGATCAAGAAAAAGTGCAGACTGAGTTCCCACAATGGTTTGGGTCAGTTCAGAAAACATTTTGTTGCCACAAAACTGGCCATCTCTCCAGAGTGAATGGATCACCATGACGAGATTCAATTAATTTGCCTGTTTTCCAGCTTCAAGGAGGCTCTTGAAATTATGCCTTTTAATGTGCAAAGATGCTTTTGGTTTGTTTGACAAGTTAGTAATATATTTTATCCACTAAAAGAACTGATTACCAAACACCACATTACTAGTGGTTCTGTCTGGTTGTAAAGTCATTTTCAGGTATTTACAATTGAGCTCAGAGGTTGTGACACTGATTAAAAATGCTTATTTTTGTGATAAACCCATTTTAAGCTGAACTGAAAAAAAACTAAACTGTTGTCACTCTTACACATAGCAATGATTAACTTTAATACATTTTTTAAAATGTCCTTTCTAAAAGCTGCCCAATTATGTAGGTTTAAAGCAGGTTTAACACTCAAAATAAAAACAGAAATTGAAATAAGTGGTTTATTGTTGTGTACCTGGGTTCTGCAATTGTAAAATATTGGCAGTATAGACATATTCCAAAAATAGTCAAACTGTACTGACCAACAATGCTGCACCTGAGAGATTATCTAAGGGAAACAATAAAATTTTAATATTCCATCTTGGAACAAAATAAACCATTTGCACTGTGAACTAACCTCACACTAACTTTAGTCCCTGAAGGCAATGTGCAAAGCAACACTGTAGAGTTATTGCCTCTGTAATGAGCTTCTCCTATACTTTGAAAGAACTAAGATGCAATATTGCTTTAAGATTGCTCTAAGTATTTGAGCTTATCATAGCAAGAATCATGAATGTTGCGGAGCAGAAATGTTGATATCTTACACCTATTGTCTTCACCATACCCTCCAATCAAATACAGAGCAGCCAGAAATCATTTAATGTCAGTCTACAAAGTTACAACAATTAACTTATACTTTGCTACTCAAATTTTCTCCCTGATGGGAATGGTCATTCTTTTTGGGGCATAGTTCATTGGTAACGACAAGACTCTGGGATGTCACTCCAGTTGTCGTTGTTCTTCTCTGAACCTGGGACATCAATGAGCATCAAAAAATTATTTAACTATGGAGGCAATCACACCTATTCTTCCCTGTAATAATTAAGATTGGAAAATTAGGGAATTTCGTCTTCTCAACCAAGAACCACAGAAATTGTCGTGCACCTTCCATTGCTTCTTCTGATATCAGCTAACTCAACATATGAAGGATTGAATGGGATACCGGGATATTATGCTATAGTTCAGTTATCTACCACTCAGGTGCTGCATTTGCCTGCAGAAACACTGACACCAACATAATGGACTTTCCTTTCCTCAGAAGAGAATGCTCTATTACACAAGTGTGAACATTTCCCATCCTCACACACCAACCAATGTCATGCCTTGTCTGATCACTAATTTGGGTTGAATTATGAATGATTTACTCTTGAACATATCTGAAGTAGTTTGAAACTATCTAAACTTGCTTCACCTTAGAGCACCATGCCTTCAATACTTATTGACCAAGCTTTAAGTTACTGCTCTGTTTCATTCTTAAGTGTATAACAGGTTGAGTTTATTAATTTATCTCAAGATGATGATCATATCATGTTTACAATTGGCTTCAGTGCCTCCTTGTACTGGGGAGAAATACAGCTAGACTTCCTGGCTCTCAATCACTAATCAGTGAGGCACTGTTGGAAAATGCGAATAGCAGATGAGGACAGGATCAGGGTCAGCTGTATATAGCATCTTGATGCTAGCCATCTAGTTCAAACTGAAAGAATGACCACTTCAGTTTGGTACTGGAGATGGCTAGAGTAATGCTCAAACTAAATTAGCTTCTTTAGGAGAGAAGGGGAGAAATTAGAGGACTAAAAAAAGAGTTGAAGTGTTGAATTGAACTTTTCATGTTAATATAGCCCACTTATTGCTTTGGCTAATTTACTAAAGGAACGATTGCACTACTTAAGTATGTTCTCTTTCGCTATCAGGGGGTACATCACAACGTAGACTATTAATCTGTTTTAGTGCTATTCAAAGCAAAGAGGAGGTCCTAATTTTAGAAAAATCAAACCCTGAACACATTTCTGCCATCAAAATGAAGCCTAGAATTTGAAATACATCAAGATTTTGCCTTTAGACCTGGGCTGAGATAAGGTTATCAATAAGTCTTAGGCTTCCAAAAAAAAAGAGGCCAGCATACATTTAAATAAAAAGCAAATTTTAGGCAAAACAGATAATTTGTTTAAAAAAAAACTCAAGTTGATTTCTACTGTTAGGACGTGGAATTATAATCCCATTCCTTTTGCACACGTTTGCAACTTTGCCATAAATTGCTAAATGACAGACATGTTATTCCAACATTTCAAATTACAGCGTTTGTCAAAGTCATCTTAAATTAATTTAAATGTGTGAGGAACTCCCTTTAGATGAACACTATTTCTCTAAGGACATAATGATATTAAAGTTCAAGGCCTGTCACGCAAGATTGACATTCAACGCGTAAAACCGACACATAACTGAGTGTCTACTATTATTAAAAGGAAAACCAGGAAAGCATCGCTTTAGGCTTCATTAGAACAAGCTTAGTTTCCATTTAAATGAGGAGCCTCTACACTTTCTGGAACAGAACCGCTGTTCACTAATTAACCTCAATATAGCTGAGTATCTTCACAATCTGGATCAACATACACTGAATATGACTGTAGCTTTAATTTTCTTATCCTTGTCAATTTTGCGCTCTGAAAGCCTAAACGGTGGTTTAGAGAAGATAATCTTGAACCGTTCCCAACGAGTACAGACTGCTTGTAGGAACATTCCATTCCAGCTGCTGCGTTCTTATTCAGCGAGAAGAAAAATCTGCTTACTGAATCAGGATCGCTTTCAAGTTGCTTTTTACCTGTTTGTCTGCTGCAGTTCATAAATCCACTCTTGTAGTCGGAAATTACTCTGCCCCACATAGCGAAGGGTTGAATAATGACACCAAAAGTAATCCTGAATTGACCATAAAAGTACTGAATTCAGTTGTTTAATAGTACTTTGAAACAGTGTACTACTTGAGGTCCATTTTGTAAGATTCTGTACGGATGTGACTCCCGAGGGTGAAGTAAACAGATTCTGGTAGTTTCCTGCTGCTGTGATCCTGAGGATATCATGCAGACCCCCACCCTGAGCTGCTCCGAAACACTGATACAGACAGCCTGGCCGGATTACTAGGATGTGATCTCACTGAGCTGCACTGTGCTCACTGGCAAATTCAATAGAGCTCAGTCTCCTCCCACAAAACCTCTGGGCTGTCACTTATTAGCTTAGCCTGTAAGCCTTTACTAGCTGCGAAGAGCAGAGAGAGAGAGAGAGAGAGAAATTAACCATTGCTAAAAGATTTGGAATTTTTTTTTCACTTGGTTTTCAGTTTCACAGAATGGGCATCGTTACCGTGCTAACACGTATCTGTAGCCAGTTAAATGTAGCGCAGCTGGGCTTTCTATGGAGATTTTGTTTTTTTTACTTTGCTTGTCTGTGCCCCAAGGTCCATCTCTAAGCAGTCCTTCATGTTGTCATGCATCTGCTGCATAATACATCATGTTAATTTCTCCTCAGACTGTGGATAGCACTGAGACCTCCAAGTGCACACATGATGGAGACTCCCTGTGAACTATTATGATTTGTCATATGGTTCCAGTTTATGAGAGTTACTCAGATGAATTCCCCAGTTCTCTTTGCTACAGAGCTGACCAACTTAGGAAGTGTATAACATCACATACTTACGTGAGCATTGGCTTCGTATGGTACAATAAGTGGTTCATTTTCTAAACTAGTTTTTAAAACCTCACACGCAAGAATTCAATTTACACAAAATAAACTTGAATGTCTTTAACGTTGCAATGTAGCAGGACAAAACACGAAGATGTTCTCCATCAATTTCATCACACCTACTGCAAGTACCTTTTTGTACTTTTTTGTCAACAATCCATACCAAATGATATTTATTATGTAACATTGCTTTAAAAAATGTTTTTTGATGTACCTTCTTAGAATTTCCCCTGAAATTAACCACAGGGCTCTTTCTCTTTTGCTAGATATCAGAATTGAAGTTACTGGATAGGCAAGACCAGCAAGAAACTAGATGGAACAGAAGACACTAAACTTTAGAGAAGTGAAAAAGGATCGACCCCAGATTTCAACAACTACAGACTTCATTTATAAAGCACCTGAAGGGTAGTATAAATATCTCAAGGAACTTACCAGAAGAACTTTTGATGCAGTATTCCTGTTGAGTCTGAAACAGTGTTCACAGTATCATAGAATAGTTACAGCTTAAAAGGAGACCGTGCAGCCCATGCCAGTTCACTGCTAGACTCAATCCACTACTCTTTCCCTGAAGCCCTGGAAATGTATTCTATTCGAAAAATTACCAACTTCCCTTTCAAAGCCATGATCGAATCTGCTGCTACCAATCTGGCAGTGCATTTCAGATGCTAACCACTCCCTGTTTAAAAAGGTTCTCCCTCATGCCATTTTTGGTTCTTTTTCTTTTATCATTCATCTTAAAACTGTGCCCTTTGGTTCTTGATCCTTCCATCAATGGAAACAATGGCTCCTTATCTATCTGGACTCACCATGACTTTAAAAACTGCTATCAAACCTCCTCTTATTTTTCTCTTGTCCAAGAAGAATACACTCAACTTCTGCAACTAATGTCTTTAACTGAACTCCCTCATCACTGGAACTATTTTTGTAAATATTTCCTGCATCCTTTCCAGTATCTTCACATCCTTCTTAAATTGGGTTGTCCAGAATACTCCTGTTGAAGCCAAACCAGTATCTTATAAAGGTTCATCATAACTTGCAGAAACCAAAATGCCAATAACCACTTCCTCAATTTGCCTCGCCATTTGCAAAGATCTGTGCTCAAAAATGTTGAGTTGCTCTGCTCATGCACCCACTTTCGAATAATGCATTGTATCTTATATTGCCTCTCCTCATTATTACTAATTCACATTTCTCTATTCCAAATGTAATCTGCTGTATGTTTGTTGATTCTTATCTATGGCTTCTTGATCTATCTGGACTCACCATGACTTTAAAAACTGCTATCAAATGTCCTCTTATTTTTCTCTTGTCCAAGAAGAACACACTCAACTTCTGCAACTAATGCCTTTAACTGAACTCCATCTTGTACTTGCATTACTTCCATGTTTTCCGTATTCCACAAATTTGGAAATTGTGCTCTGCACACCAAATCAATTAAATCAAGAAAATCTATGGTCTTCACTGTAGCATCACTTTGTATCTTCCTCCAGTCCAAAAATAACAAATCACCACTAATTTCGGTTTCCTTTCACCTCAGTCTGCTTCACACTTAAGCTGCCTCATTCACTTTTATTTCATGAGCTTTAACTTTGTTGACAAGGCTATTATGTGGTGTTTCATCACATACCTTCTGCAATTCCACGTACACCACACCAACCACATCAACATCAACCCTTTCAGTTAACTGATTAAAAAAAACTCAATCATATTTGTTAAACCTGATTTGTGTTTAATAAATCCATGCTCATTTTGCTTAATTAATACACATTTGTCCAAATGACTATTAACATTCCCTGATTATTGTTTCAATAAGCACTCTCACCACACAGGCCTATAATTGGTGTATTTGTCCTCACACCCTTTGTTGAATTATGGTGTGATATTCTCCAGTCCTCTATATGTATATTATCACCCTCACCTCCCTCAGCATCCTTGTATTCAACCCATCTGGCCTTAAAGACTAATTATTATAAGTACAGCCATTTTTTTTTTCTCATACCTCTTCTAAAAATTGTTGGCCTATCCATTAACTAGCTCCTCTGTCAATATAACTTCAGCAGCATATTTTTCCATAGCAAGGACAAATATAAAGTATTCATTTAGTACCATATCTTCTGCCTCCATGCATAAATCCCCTTTTTTAGACTAAGCACTTGTGAGATATTTATCAGTCAGAAAAAAAAGCTATTCAATCTCCGTCTAGAATTGGAGAAATTACATGCAGCTTGGAACACAGTCTTAGACAGTCCCTCACCACAGACTGATGGTCCATGATGGCAGCTCTTTGACTGACCATGAAGGCAACATCATGACTAACAACAGATAGGATTGTGCCCCTACCAGGCTTAAGTGAACTTCAGGAACCAGAACTAGACAAGTTGCTTCATGCTCCTTACCCACATTGCTTCAAGGCAAGCAACCTGGAGTAATCAAGATGCACCTTAAAACTAAAAAAGTTGCAACTGCCTCATAAAGATATGTGCAAATCATTAATTTGGAGAACTTTAAAAGAAAAGGCACCATTAATTGAGATACACAGTACAACTGAAAAAAAGATTCTGACTAAAATTTAAAATGTTGGATCAAAGACTGCAGCTCTATGGATGAATAAAAATGTTAGACCAACTACAATGTCTTTCATGAAGGCATCTGATTTGGAAGAATCAGTAAATGAAACTGTTAAATGTAGAAAAATAGCTTAAGTGGCTACGTCACCAGGTGTCATCAGCACTGAAGATTATGAAGTAGCAAAAGTCATTACCATTATTTCCAACATTTTTCCAGAAAAGAATTTGCACCAAAGAGCTAAAAAGGTGGTGAATCTATTTCAAATTGGGAACTGGGTGAGTTATGTATTATGGATTAAGCAGCATTGAGGTGATGAATTAAAAAGAAACTTCTAGGAACAAGGGATATGAATAGTAAAGAAAGATAAAGACTAATCAGAATTTACAAGGGCTAAGTCATGACAGTTAATCTAATTTATTTAAAGAAATTGCTGACCATGTTGAAAAAGTGAGTGCACTGGAAGTGGTTTATTTGGATATTTTAAAAATGCTTGATAAAAAGCTTGTGAAGACTCAGACACAAGGGCAATAAATTAGCCTCAGCAGTGGCTGTTTTCTGGGAGTTTACAAGAGCCTTTAGGAACATGCAGCACACATGCATATGTTTGATGTGCAGCATGCTGAATATCTTCTTGGTGAAGCCATTCACAAGTCTACAATTACCATTTGCCAGGCCAATGTGGAGCAGGCAGTTTGAGGAAGTAATCAAAGCCAAATTAGAAGAGCCCAAGGTTCTGGAAGAGGAATGATGTGAGTGAGCAGTGTTCTCAGTAGGAAGCATATCTGTCAAGCATTCAGGGAGCAATCTTATGCCCTTAACCTCAGTGAGGAACAGTATGTAAGATTCCAGCCCTTTGGGAGTGCCCCATGAAAATCTGTCACTGTTGCAGTCATGACTGAAACCCTGGAGTACAGCAAGGATTATCATTGTCTTAACTGTGAAAGTGACTGTGCTGATTAGTCTTCATTTGCCTGCCTCTTTTCAGCTGCATGCTGAAGACACGAGCAACATTTTTCAGTCTGCTGTCTGCTGTTGTATAGGAGAGGTTACTGAGAGAGAACTTCATCTCATTCTCTTTTGCAGGCAGGACAGGCAGATAAAATCAGAGCAAGGGTTTAATAATTTTAAGGACTTCTTCATGACAGGGTGTTGTGGACTGCCACATACTGCTTTGTTTGTGTTGCATGTCAACTCTGCTGTGCATCAGAACAGAAAGTGATTGCACTTCCTCAACGTCTGGCTGGTATGTGGCCACAGGCAGCACTTCATGAATGTCAATATTTGCCATAGCCAGTTACTCAGAAACCATCATGATATCTTCCTAGATAACAAGGTGTAGAGCTGGATGAACACAGCAGGCCAAGCAGCATCAGAGGAGCAGGAAAGCTGACGTTTCGGGCCTAGACCCTTCTTCAGAAATGGGGGAGGGGAAGGGGATTCTGAAATAAATAGGGAGAGAGGGGGAGGCGGATAGAAGATGGATAAAGGAGAAGACAGTTGGAGAGGAGACAGACAGGTCAAAGAGGTGGGGTTGGAGCCAGTAAAGGTGAGTGTAGGTGGGGAGTTAGGGAGGAGATAAGTCAGTCCAGGGAGGATGCACAGGTCAAGGGGGTGGGATGAGGCTAGTAGGGAGGAGATGGGCTGGGGCTTGAGGTGGGAGGAGGGGATAGGTGGGAGGAAGGACAGGTTAGGGAGGCGGGGACAAGCTGGGCTGGTTTTGTGGCCTCCTCTACATCGGGGAAACCAAGCGGAGGCTTGGGGACCGCTTTGCGGAACACCTACGCTCGGTTCGCAACAAACAACTGCACC